AAGAGAACCAATTCAACCGAAAGAATGATGGCGTCACAATACTACAAACGACAAAACAGAGAACAAACAGAAAAAAAAAAAACGAAATAAATCGATGTAAAAAAGATTGATATTTTGTGTGCGGTTTATGCATCAGCAAAATGAATGATGAAATAGCAAGACCATCAGCCGCTTGCCTGTCTTCAACTCGCTCCCTCCTCGGGTCATCACCTCTACACCTTACTGACCAACCACATTCTCATACATTTGTGATTCTTTTGGTGAAATCATATTATCAGATGACTTATTAAGCCATACTGTCATTAAATCAGCGGAGCGGTTGTGATGTATGAGAGTCGGGCTACCCTACCATTCAGTTTTCTTATTATTCTAATGTAATTAGTGCCGGTATTAAGTACAACTATTCGATATTCATGGGCAGATTTCCAGAGCCGATACCGGACACGATTATGAACTCTTCATAAAATCAAAATAGTCAAGCTCTCTCTTCCCATGTTTTCAACAATCTTTCATTGTCAATGTTAATCGTGTGATTAGTCGTTGTCTATACACGTCATTCTGTGTACACGTGGTGTTATAGATACTAAGACCGACAGAAATAAATACATGTGTAAAAAAAACACTTCCAATGACGAAGTCCGCTAATCCCTGATGCTACGCTGCTGTATATTAGTATTAGGTTGGTGCAAAAATGGCGTAATAATGTCGTTTTTTTGACGTATTTTTTAAGGTCAAAAACGACATTATTACGTCATTATTTTTGCACCAACCTAATACTATACAAAGATGGACGCTCTCACTAATTTAGCAGGCATCGTTTGTCTTGTGAAATAAATTTAGAGTTCTCTTTGTTCAAAACTTAGTCCTTTGGTGCTGAAACTGGAGTGACCTCTCCATGGCGCTGACAAGAGAATATGTCTCCTTCCCCGGCCGTAGTGAGGCAGAATGCATGGTTAATAGTAAAAAGACGAGCACATTACGAATCCTGGGTACAAAAATCATACAAGTACATGAAATAGCTGGGAAGTTTTTTAACAGAGGACGGAAAGTGCGACACTCAGATCCGAAGACGAATTGGGTTGGCCAACTTTTCATTCTCAAAGCTAAACAGAGTATCATAAGACAGAGAAAAAAAAACTTAAAGAGAAACAAAGAAAAAGTGCTAAAATGTTATGTGTTTTCTGTCCTTCCATATGACAGCAAATACTGGACAATCTCCTCAGTGATAATGAAAAGAATATTAAAAGCAACACAAATATAGTTCTACAGAAAGATGCTGAGGATATCATGGAACAAACATGTGAAAAACACGATTTTATAAAAAATAAAAAGAAAAAGGAAAATCATATTTAACATAGGTAAGAACAGTTGAAATTTCTCTGACCAGTAATGAGAAGGAGGTCTTGGAAATTCTGATACTTACAGGACAGATTGAGGGCAAGAGGGATAGAGGAAAACGTCGCGTGACATACTTGATGTGTTTGAGCAAATGTATGGTAGAACAGGCTTTAGGTAAAATAACAAAAAGTCAAAACTAGAAGAGTTAGAAAAAGCCGTATGAAGTGGATGACCATGATCGCCTACGTCCTGAAAGTACACGGCACAGGCAAGAAAAATGATCATTATTTTCTTTGTTTCTAAAGATATTTTCCAGTCAAAGATTTACTTATTTTATGGAAGACATCTTTCAATATACTTAGGCGCCTACAGATTACTTTGTCACAATGTCCATCTTTTCATTCTCAGTTACCACGTCATTTGAATTTCTGTATCTTCCTGATTCTGAGACGGATCGATAGCGATAAGGCCAAAACTGCGAAATACACAGAGATAAATATATGCGCAAAAAAAGTGAATATTCCAGAATGGACCAAAAGTGTTTATCACTGAAGCAGATTCGGAAATGGAAAATAAAATTTGAAGAAAGAAAACAAAAACCGAATGAAATTAATAAACAAACACACACATCATATATATATATATATATATATATATATATATATATATATGTGTGTGTGTGTGTGTGTGTGTGTGTGTGTGTGTGTTAAATATGTTAAACTATACATTTGCTTCGAGTTCCCTGTTGTTTACATGCTCTGTCCGTGGTTTCCTAAGAAATTTTTATCTGTCTCCGTTGATTCAAGCTTCCCTTTCATTTCTGAGAAAACAGTCCACACTCACTGTCATATAGGTAAATTATTATTACATAGCGTTTCATATATTCGTTTTAGAATACATTATATACTTGTATATCATGCGATTTTCGAATAGCAAATTCTGAAGCTCAATTAAGGGATCACATCATGCACGAAATATAAAATTAGCGTATCTACTGCTCGTTCTAGCTATTCAGTTGACCAAACTATATATCTATTTAATATAGTCAAAATTACAGCTGTATTTATAATAAAGCTGGCGTGTTATATATATATATATATATATATATATATATATATATATATATATATATATATATATATATACATATATATACATATATATACATATATATATATATATATATATATATATATATATATATATATATATATATATATATATATATATAAAAATACACACACACATATATATATACATATATATAAACACAGAGACACAGATATATATACATATATATAAACACAACACACACACATATATGTATATATATATATATATATATATATATATATATATAAACACACACACACATATATATATATATATATATATATATATATATATATATATAAACACACACACATATATGTATATACATATATATATATACATATATATATATATATAAACACACACAAACATATGTATATATATATATATATATATATATATATATATATATATATATATATATATATATATATAATATATAAACACACACACACATATATGTATATACATATATATATATATATATATATATATATATAAACACACACATATATGTATATACATATATATATATATATATATATATATATTTATATAAATACACACACACATATATATATAAGTATGTAAATAAGAAATGTTTCTTTTTTTCTTATCGACAACTACTGCCAAAGCCCATGTCACGTTGCTTTCCCCGGGGAGAAGCAGAAAATACCATCTGTACCAAGAGACCGAACGGTAACTTGTTTATTATTCATGTTTCGTCTCGGCGCGAAGTATGAAAAGACTGTGTTCACTTCCGTTTCACTTACTCCGTCTTATTCTCGTCTTCTTTACTCAATATACGGCCATTTTCCAGAAGACTAAATTATTTTTTTCGTATAAATAAATACTATACTTATGTGACATCTTTGAAAAAATATTATGTCCGATGAACACGACCTATCTTTATGTAAAATCATTGTATTTTTTTTATTTTTGTGACCATACGCCATAACCTTTTATGCAGTTACGTCATTATTTTTATGAAGCAAAATTATGACTGGATATGGATGTAAATCATAGATCATATTTTTTATCAAGATATATTATGAATATTTATGAAAGGTTATCAACGATCATAGCATTTTTTAACTTGCGTTTTGATATTTTCTGAAGCCAAGTCATGTTTTACAGTAAATTAATTAGGAAGGTTCTTACTCAATTTTTCGGAAGGTACGTCACCTTGTTTGGCATGGCTGAAATTAAGAGGACGGTTCACTATAATGTTCGCAAGTTTGAGTGGTAATCAGTCAGCTATATGCCATGCGTGATACACGCTTAGGCGATCATGTATCGTTCGATACATGAATGACGAGGCAGATTTTTTTCCCACAATAGGTTGCCATTTCTTTCTGCGGAAAAAAACAATTGCCTGCTATTTACCTATAGCTGTGGAGAGAAGAAGAGGATTCATAGGTTTCCCAAGTATTTTGGCACGTATAGATTCGACTGGAATCCGAACTCTACGCTCCGGTTCTTCAATTTGAGCCGCTAGCCATTACTCCACCGTATAAGCGGACTAAACGCAAAGGACGTAAAGATATATTTCTTAATTCGACTCTTAGTCATATGATCTGGTTGTTAAAAAGACGAGTCCAGATTCCGTTCTCCTTCGGGGAAACAGCAACCGGTGCGCCGGCCTCTTAATGTCAGTCAAACCACTTTCATCTCTATCTGTCTGTCTGTCTGTCTCTCTCTCTCTCACACACACACACACTACAGCAATCACATGATTTCTTTACTTTTGTCTTTTTGAAATATACCCGCACATGTACATTGTCATGCTCTTTGAATTATGTTGTTCTATGCATAAAAGTTATTCACCCAATTTAAATTTATTTCGAACATTCCCAATCGAAGTCTGTTTGATCTAATCACCCACAAGTGGTAATATATATATATATATTTAATCCAATGAAGCTAGTACCAAAAATAATGATTTTTATTTTTTTCTTATAATGATTAGTCATTGTCTGTTAGATTTTGTAATAAATAAAAGATTTGTAAATAATTCATGTGTAACAAGTCTAATTAGCTTTTCTGTTCGAAAAAAATACAAACGATAAAATAATCCACAAAAGCGATTAAAATAATCAAATTAGTAATTATATCGACATTCGGAAATCCTTACCAAATTCACTCATGTTATTTTTGCAAAATGAATGTAACATTTAGTTCTTGTTAAAATCCTATCATTAATGGCCAGTGTCCGTTTTACTGTCTTTTTTAATCCTAGAATTGATGGCGGCAAATCCATCATTGCGCTTATCCGCCAAGCCCAAATCTCAAAGCATCAACCCTACAAGCAACTGTGGATTATTTTTTTTTATTATTTTATGATTTTACATAATTGTACGACTCATGGAGCCTTCGGACGATTCCTGCTGTGCGTGCTTTGGATTTAAATCAAGTGTGTAATCAAATAAACTAGCGAATGACCAAATAGCTACAGGTTTTAAAAATGGCGCACAGCCAATAAGAAGCACACAAATCAGTTTTCCCCTGATAAAAACAAAATGATAGTAACGAAATAAAGAAAGACTGACCTTTGTCAATCCAGTCTCTTTCAGCTTCAACACATTCACTGAAAAGTCAGACCGCTCTCCGTTTGAATCAAACATTATCTTTCCAGACAAACCATCAAAGACGACCTGGAAGCAATAAAAACGCACCCTTAAGCAAACATTTTCTAAGATTTCTCATGGGTACAATATGTTATTTATTTTCATCTGTTCGGTGTGTAAGTGCACTTGTGTGTGTGTGTGTGTGATTGCGAATAAATACAAAATCGGGGAACAGACATAATAAAACGTATTTAATATGCGATTTCATTAAATAACAAATTCATGATTTAAATGTCCATTTAACTTGTAAAAATAATGTAATATATTTTATAAGATTAACTTGAAATTATCATTCTTTTATGTGTCACGTTCTTTCATTGATCATAGATCTTCCCAATTTCCTGTTCTGTGTAGCTTTTCGCTGTTTTTGATTTTGTTACAATCTTAATACCTTCCTGAAATGGTATCCATTTGCATGTTTTAACCGCTGTTTATTTCACTTACTCCTGCTTTTCAACATATCTCATGAGTATGAAATTTTCCAAGCCATCTTTCAAATTTATGTCTCAGAGTAATTTCAATTGTCGCTTTCTGATTCTATCTTAAACCATTCTTTTGTTTCGAGTTACTTGTTGTTTATATTCCCGTCCGTGGTATTCTAAGATTTTTTTTTTCACCTGTAGAATCACGTCTCCGTTGATTCATGCTTCCTCCTCGTTCGTTAGAAAATTGCTCAGCTCTCAGGGACATATTGCTGAATTTTTATTAAATTTCATTTCATCACTTATTTATTTGTATAAAATTACCGTATATACTCGCGTATCATACGATTTTGAAGATCTAAATTTTAAGCTAATTTTAACGGGGTTGCATCATACACGAGACATCAAAATAGCGTATCTACTGCTGGGTGAGGCTACAGCGTTGACCAAACAATATTTCCTTTTACTAGGGTCAATATTACAGCTGTGTTTTAAATAAACATGATTTTGATTATATTATAGATGTATGCGTTTAGTTACTAACGATAGTTTAATCATTCTCTTTAAAATTTTTAACTTATTTAACTAGAAAATGGGATAAAGAGATAAAGGAAAATAGGTTAGTCTCTTTTAATTTGGTCTCTTAGAGAAGTAACTTGTAAGATACACGAGATACATGATGCAATTATATTTTATGAATTAAAATCTGAGCGTTCGCAAGATAGGTGAGATCGAGCGTTTTACGAGAATATGCAGCAAATTTTAATAATTCTTCCTACTTTGTTTAAAATTTCGAAGGCGTTTTTAGCTATAAAAATTCACTTTCGGATCGGTGTCACGTTTGCCCTCATTGATAATTTTTATACCAGATTTTGGGCTGGTCTTGCTGACAATACTTTATTCTGTCTTCTTTTTTTTATATCTAATGTATAGTTCTTATATTCTGTATAGCGTGTATAAATCCAGTGCGAAGCCCATACTTGTAATAAGCCTTTTTTTTTTTTTGTGTATTTATCTATTTTAAATCTATTTGAAGTTGGATTGCTACTAGTATATCATTTAGATTCGCAGAATATACTAGAAAAATTCCATAGAAAAAATCGGGATTGGTGCGGAAATATCCTCGCTTCAACCAAGTAACTTTTCAAGAAATATCTGATTTTGAAAGTTCTTCGACGTCAGGTCATATCAGATGTCCAGTATTCCAGGTATATATAAAAACTTATCAAATAATTGATAGATTTATCGAAAAGACTATTTATATGTACTTTCTGAATTTACTTTAACTACAGCTTCTGACAGAATTAATAAATTTTACCCTGAGTGTATTAGGTAAGTAATTACGTTTGAACTGAAAAAATGTGTATTATATATATATATTTGTTATGAAAAATTTAATCAAATTTATTATCATCGACTGCAGCCTATTGAGAAGGCATATTTTTGATTACATCTTTTTAAGAAATATAGGCTTTCGCGAAAAACAAATTCTTGAAAGAATTTTTACAAATTAATCATTTCTGTATATTTATGCTACTTATGACATTTTTCTACTGCCCAAAACGAATGAAATCCTGACGTTACGAAAAGTGATTGGAATGCGGAGGTGGGAAACATCTTCTCATCTAAACATTCTTATTTGTCATGGATTTGTTTTGAAGAGTGCACACTTGCGTTTTCATGCTGGAGAATATCACTTCTCCTGTTTACCAAAACAAGACTTCTTCAACGTACTGCATCATATGCCCGAGCAACTTGCTGGCAATAAACATCTGCAATTATGTTCCTTCCATTTTCCCACGTCTCGTAATGGATGACATTTTTCTCTTCCAAAGGTACAAAGAAAAACATTTATCAATGGCTACACTGTTTTGGTTTCCAGTTCTACTGTTTTTGATAGCCACTATATTTTTTTTCACATTGATGCCAAACCACTTTTCTCATTGGCTTCAACGATGCAATAAAAACATGAAATGTTGACATTCCCGATTAAAACACCCCTGCAGATGAGCTCTTTTCAGTTATCAATCGAATTGATCTGATAATAAAAACAAATTTCCCCTTTCCAAGATTTTTTCGACAATTATATTATGACATCTACTATAAACGACACATTGTCCTATAGAAGAGCTGATAAAATTATTCTACCATTGAATCTTGATATCATATTTGCCGAATTACTAATAATTCGTCGCTGAAATAAGTAATTTCTATGCGAACATCTAAATATGTTCGTTCATTTTTAAATAACTAAAGTTTTTCAATTTCATATCTCACGCATTTACTTGAAAATTAAATATGATTTGAGACATTCAATTATTTAATAATTTTCAAAGATAAAAAAAAAACGGAAGCCCGAATACGCTTAGATATTTCGGGAAAGAAATGGAGTTTTGTATGAATGAGCAAAGAACTACGAATTGGTTTTCGCTACACTCCAAGTTACGTACAGTTTTCATGTAATTCAGCAGACTGTTTCCGTGGGTCCAGGTATTTTGCTTCGTGCAGGAAAGTGACATGGTGTTGATATCACGTGCCCCCGCCACTTGGTGGAGGCCTTTGGCAAACAGAATCACAGCATCATACATAAGTGCAGTCTCAGTCTGAAAGATAAGAAGAAAGAAGAAAGAGACAATTATATAAAGCTACTTAAAGATAAATGAAAATTAAGTAAGATGTAGCTTAATGGTTAGATGCGTGGTGATAGGATATGTAGAGACTGAAATCCGTAGAGATAAGTGTAATTCGAGAAAAATATACGGAGGCACAGGAGTAAAAAAAAAATGTTAGAAAATTATAAGTATTTTTGGGTATATATGACAGACTGAAATAGATATAAACATATACATACGCTTATATTTAAGAAGTTTTATTAGGTATAGACTTCGAAAGATGCGAATGAGAGATGCACAGGTTTAAAATCAGGTAATTAAACCATACATTGCTCGAGGCGGGTAATGGTAAAGCAGCTATTATATTCCAGGATAAAGGGAATAATGTTTGTATTATTGGAGAACAAATTATATCAATACGTATCTCTCTCCCCCCTATATATATATATATATATATATATATATATATATATATATATATATATATATATATATATATATATAAAAATGTTTATACGTTTTTTCTAGATACAAATATTTAAGTAAATGCTCTGTTTATAAAAAAAAAAACAGTATTGACATCATTTATCGTCCTGAATGTCCGAGAAATTTTCATAGAAAATATACGTCCTCCGACAGTAATCAAACCTGTATCCTATACCTCAGGTTATATGACGGTTCCGTATAGGATACAGGTTCGATTACTGTCGAGGACGTATATTTTCTATGAAAATTTCTCGACATAAACATAAAAAAATGTCTTAAAAACTAATCGTCGGATTTTCTCTATTTCATAATATATATATATATATATATATATATATATATATATATATATATATAATTATTTATTTAAAAATATGATTCCAAATCGCGACATAAGAAGTCCCATGTTTCGAAAACTTCAATATAATTATTTAAATTAAATTGAGTTAAAATAAGCTCTGTTCCATCTTCAAGCGAAATTTTTTTTGGAATAACGTGTTTCTGAAATTTACGTGTTTTAAAAATTGAAATCAAAATTTCCATGGTAACAGCTAGGGCTCTTGTTTTGAAACCTGGGAGTTCTTATGTCGCGATTTTGGAATCATATTTTTAAATTAATAATTATATTTATGCTCTACTTTTGTATCGAGCACTATTTTTTAAAAATAATAACTAAAATACTAAGGGACTTTTGGATTATTTACCTAACCAGTTCCTTCCTATTTTCTATGTATTTTCATATATATATATATATATATATATATATATATATATATATATAAAAAGAATCAGAAAATTTGAAGGGATAAAGGGTGATTATAATTTATTTTCTTAGAATCAAAAATTCAATTTTCATAGAAATAAATGCTTGACAAATATTCCATATAACTGCGACCCATTTCTTCTTATTATTAATATTTGCTCTGTGTTTACATTGAGCTCTCTGATTCTATCCTCCCTGAATTACCCATACGGATTACCAACCACATCTTTACACACACACACACACACATATATATATATATATATATATATATATATATATATATATATTATATTGTGTGTGTGTTTTTCGATGCAGTTTATTCCTTGTAATCATTACGGATATAACCTTATTTCAAGTTCATCTTATAAGTTTACGTGTATTAATTAAGCATCTTATTGTTTTAGAAGTAGTTTCACAGAAATTTGGTTAAGCTTATATAGATATTATATTCAATTGTACTTTTATTGGCTTTTTGTATGTAGAATTATATATATATATATATATATATATATGCGTGTGTGTGTGTTTTATGTATGACCTGTTTATATTCTCATACTCATATGGACACACCCTTATTAAAATATAACGCCACATCATAACTTTATATATATATTTTACACATGCCTTTCGGTTGTTCTAGCGGAAGAAAGTGAAACTTATGTTGGAATTAAAATTCCTCTAATTAAAAAAGAAGCTGTGAAATTAATTAGTAAGGTGAAAGTTCATATTTGGCCTTATTCAATATTAATCACTGATCGATATTCAAGCGTCCACTTGTTCTTATTAATTTGAGTTTAAATTCATTAAAACGTCTCTACCTTCTTTATTCTCTATCAGAGTCAATCTATCAGTGTCACTAAAAATATCTATTTTAGGATGAAAATCTCGCAGCTTTAAAATAAACGATTGGCATTTATTTTCAGAATCAATATAAATTATACACTTCACTTATAGCCTAAACGTCAGATCGCTGGCTGGCTGGCTGGCTTTCATTTTGTTGACTCCTAAAAAAAATAAAGAAATTCGGAGACATCTAAAATAGTCTACAAAATTATTTGGTTATATCATTTGGTAATTCCTTAATGAAATATACCGAAATATATATATATATATATATATATATATATATATATATATATATATATATAATGTACATAGTTAAATAACGCCAAACTTGGTCAATCAGGATTTTTTTTTACTTACTGGAATTTCGGCTTTGTAACCCTTGATAGGCGAATTACCAGTACGCTTTTCCTCCATAATCCAATCCTGAGTCACCTCAGACACTTGAGGACGCAGAGAGTCAATTAGCCTGATGGCTGTTATATTAACTCCTCCGTATTTAAACTCCTCGAGGTCGATTAGAGGTAGATCCTGAAAAAAAAAAAACATGAAAATTTTACATTATTAATGAACCATAAAACATAAAATTAAACAATCACGCAACATTAAAGACAGAGAAATTACAACTTAATGTTTCTCAGCTGCAAAAAAATTTAGTTCACTGTGTCATGTGATACAATTTTTGACTCCATATTCTTACATTTCTATAAGTCTACCGAGCTTAGAATATTGCTATTTACGTTGAGCTCCTTAATAATTCCAAAGAAGAATCAATATTATTTTTTTTATCTTTATCTGGCGATTCCTTTTCAGTCATTTTTCTACCGCCACAATGATTCCTCTTTTCTATAAATAGTTTAATGGTAATTCTTTGGATGAGCTCTTCACTATGTAATCTAGACATTTTTTTTTTAAATTTAAGCACAGTACTAGTAAAATATTCGAATGCCCGGACAATAATTTCCGACTCGTAAACTGTTTTGCTAATTATTAATGGTGACGTAACTTTGATATCTTGTCACAAAACCTGTTTCTTTCGTTCAACATGTCCAAGCTTAGAATATTGCTGGCACATATAGTCACGTGCTCCTGCTATTTACATTGAGCTCCTTAATAAATTCCAAAGAAGTATTAGTAATATTATTTATATTTATGTGGCAGTCATTTTTCAACCAGGCTTTTTTTAAAAATTTAAGCGCAGTCCTCGACTGGCGTCAAGATCTCGTCAATTTATAGTTGAACTGGCTTGATGTAACCGTTCATTCTATGCTAACGCTTTGTATTTTCGCACTTTTCGCTCCTGGAACTTCCTTCCAACTTTATGCTCTCCAGCCAACTTTAATCTTCAAAAAATGAAAAGCAATTTCAATCGCTATCTACTGTCCTCCAAAATAGTCTTTCCCCTTCACGCTTATTATTAATATTTCTGTTTCTAATTTTCCCATATCCTGTATCATGAGGGGGGATATCGATTAAAAAACAAACTTAGAAATTAACTCTTATGAGGTAGTATAGCCGTGAATTGAATTAGAAATCTAAGTAACAAAAACAGTCCTATATATTTTCAAAGAAATACAAATTCAATATCAAACAATAATGTCAATAAATAAAGAAGGAAATAGACGAGGGAAAGTCTGAAATTATCAACACTCATAACAGACATGAATGTTAGGCCGAAAACGCGGGTAATGTTTGACTTTCCATTGTATTTGGTGCCATATTTCATGCCTAATGAATTAATGTGATCTTTTTTATCACAATACATAAATTGGAGTGATGAAAATATTGAGAGATGCAAGCAATTAAGTGAATATTTGATTTTGCTACGAAGAAACTTTATTTTTGAAAGTAAAACAATTTTCATATTACTAGAATGTTTTTGCAACACGCTAACATGTGTTGAAATCATCAGTATTTAGTATTGTTAAAGTCATTTTGAACATTTTGTGTCAAGATTTACAGACTGTACGTTACGTTCAAATACACAAACCAATCTATAAAATTTGAATAAGTCTCTTTTGTTTGAAAAAATACTTGAACAAAATCCAGTGTACTTTGCAAATTATTACGTGTTTGCCCTTCTCCCCAAAATTTAGTTTCGACCGGGTGTGATGGACGAGTAGACAAACGGATGTAACTGAATTATATATATATATATATATATATATAAGTAACGAAAATATTGGTAAACCTTATGGATAATCCCAAGAAGGATGAAATCCGGAAAGCTCAATGTTAAGTCAGAAAGAATAATTTAGTTTAAGGAAAAAACAGACAACTTTACGTTTCCATTAGTTATAATTTATTTCACCAGAAGATCCAGAGAAAAATAAAATCTCTGGTGAAATAAATTATAACTAATGGAACCTTAAAGTGGCCTGTTTTTTCTTTAAACTAAATTATTCTTTCTGAATTAACATTGAGCTTTATATATATATATATATATATATATATATATATATATGGAGGTGTTAAGAATATCGTTTTGGAAAGATTTTTGTAATCGTGCAATAGCAATAAATGCTTTATTCAGTATTGCAAATATTTTTTTTCAATATATGAAAATCTTTGAACTATCTGGGCAGTGAGTTAAATTGCATGTTTCATGTGATAAAAAAGGCTTCCTAGAAGCAGCTCTGAAATAAGGCTGTCTGCATTTAGGTAAGACGGAAAAAAGATTCAAATTTAATCAAGTGGTTTATTTTCCCAAGGCACCAGAGCGCTTTTACATTTTGGAATCGCGGGAGCCTATATATGATATATTGTAGTCGACATTTGACAACAAATTTGATTAAAAATAGGATTAAAAATCGAATGGATATACGCATGAGACAATTCATTATACGATACCATTGATAATGTAATAGCATAAATAACTATTCCGCTTCTTCTCTGTGCCGCGTCCGTCAGGATGGCTACGAACATGGCTCTCCACAACTTCATTTCTTGTTAGGTCTTAGCACTTTTTTTTTCGTTTGTTCTATTCGTGGACTGCTAACTCTATAGCTATGTACGTTAGGTAGATCATCTGTTGTGTTCCTTTTTCGCTCTTGATTTCAATGCCCTTTGGATTTTGAATTCTCCAAGCCCACTTTTTTCATTATGTGCTCTAGAAATTTCAAATGCCTCTTTCTGATTTTAATTAGGAACGTTCTTTCTGTTTCAATTCTCTCAAGTCTCTTCTTCATTTGTGTGGAGAATGTTCAACCTGTAAGAGGGCCAATATTACATAAATGTTCAGCCTTCGCTTCCTTGTTTCTACTGAAGTGTTCTTGTTTCTTAGCTTTTGGAAGGCATATTTTACTAATCAAATTATTCTTCTTTTGCTATCAAATATTCCGTCCATTTGTTTTAGAAAAAGATATCCCAGATATGTAATTTTTTGTACTCGTTTGATTTTCTTGCCTCCAGCCTGTACTTCGACTCTTTGCCTGTTCCTTCGCTGACAATCGAACATTCTGACTTCTTACAACCGATGTATTGTCCTTTCGTCTCCCTTTTCATTGCTACCTTTTTTTCAGTCTGATCTGATGCGCTCACTTTGAATTGCTTGTTTGTTTTGTTTGTTTAACAGCATATCAACTCTGTAAGTGTCATTTTAATGCGAAAATTTGATTTTATTGGGAACATCAGTAATTTGTTTTACAAAATATTATTGCCTGTAATATATTTTGATACAAGTTTGGGGGATAACTATTTGCCCATAGCTGAAATCCGGACAGGTGCTACCACTCTGGTCAGGGAGGAACTGGTAACAACACCAGTTAAGTGGTAGTTCCACGCTCCTCAAAAACCACCAATCTTACTGCCGGATGAAGTTTATCGTCATACCCAGCAAATGCGTTAACCTTGAAGTAATTCCCTTAATCTTTTTATTCTACCCCTTCGAGGTAGAGGTAAAAACGATTACGAGTTTGCGATCTCTGCCCTTAGTGAAGTGCGAGGCTAGAATTGAAAACCCTGAAGAAGACATGGGAATGCTATTCCATTTTATTTCCCAATCTATCAGGAAAATTTACAGATGATAATAAAGAAAAAAAAATTCCGCGAAGACTCAATGTCTTTAAAGAACATAGCATTAAAAAAAACCTGACCTTTATTTATTTTCTAATGGGGCATCAACTGTTTATTATCTTTTGTAGAGCTTTAGATACCTATTTTTATGAAATGGACAAAGTCCGACAATTTTTTTAAGACATTTTTTTATGTCTATACGTTCTTTTTATAGATACAAATATTTAAGTAAATGCCCTGTTTATATTAAACAGTATTATCAGCAGTTACCGGCCTGAATGTCCGAGAAATTTTCATAGAAAATATGCGTCCTCCGACAAGAATCGAACCTGTATCCTATACGGAACCGTCATATAGCCTGACGTGCTTTTACCCATTGAGCCACAAAGGAACGTTTCAGGTAGCAAAGTCGATTTTACTGTTTTGAAACTACAATTCTCCATGATTTTTTCTCATGCATTCATATCTGCTCGATGCGTATACAAATGTAAACAAATGACGCCACATATTATGAAATGGACAAAGTCCGACATATTTTATAACATTTCTTATGTTTATACGTTCTTTTTATAGATGCAAATATTTAAGTAAATGCTATGTTTAAAATAAACAGTATTAACAACATTTACCGGCCTGAATGTCCGAGAAATTTTCATATGTCGCTTTCCTTTTCTATAATATATAACATAATGAGGGTCCAGCAAGAATGAATTTCTAGCTATGTGTTGTAATTGGCATGTAACAATGTAGAAATGTTAATGCTTAATTGTTGGACGTTGAACCATTAATTATACACCAGTTAATGTAACTTTATATACAAATATCACATTAACATCATTTTTCTGATAAATTTATGGTTTTATTTTTTTTTAATTCTGAGAAAATTAAATATTACTCTTGTTTTATTGTCCCTGTTAATATTCCACGTAACTCGAAGCAATAATTTAAGAAAGAAACCCCCATCAATAAGGGAAAGAGATGAAAACTCTACTGGACCCGAGAAACCTGTTTTTCTGAAATGGTTTTTGAAGAGAAATATTTTAAGCAAAAACTGTACTGAATGCTCGGTCAATCAATGCCAAATTATTTCCTTGTAGGGAAACGGATAATAATACCATTATCACTAAGATAATTTATGATTTAAAATGTATATTTAAAAATATACGTTTCATTGATAACATTTGCTGTTGGCCCAGTCTTAGCTAAATTCAGTACTGTCAATAAATCAATCAGCGTATTTCAAGATACGGTTTAGCTAACCTATGGGAAATTAAGTTTTTTTTTTCTTAAATCTCTTCCGTAACACACGCAGTAGAATTATACCTTCTCTAGTTGGTTACAGTGAAATATGTGGCTACTGTAGGAAAGTCTACGCTTTCAAAAATTAGTACCGCCACTTCTTTTCTTCTATTGCTGTCTGGTAGTTTGACTATTAGGAGATGTGTTATTTTTTCCGCCCCACTACGCAGCTTCTCTTCTTCAATTTCAGTAGATGATTCCACGTGAAATATTACTGGGTTTTACTTTTTAGGATATTTTTATATCTGTGTGGAGACGTTTCTTTCATAACAGATTTCCTTTGGCAGTCTAGAAGATAACATACTCAATCACCACATTTAATTTCTTTACAACTTGCCCCCAGTCTATGCAGGCGTGGTTGATTTCAGCGTCTTTCCGTTTGGTGATGACGTCATTCCATTAATTGTGAATAAGGCAAACTCGGTATTAGATAGAATTTTTTTTCCCCCAAGTACCTTTATACATAACGTCTATAAAGCAAGTAACGTTCACAGAAGAACCGGGTGCTACTTGGTTTATGCTTGCTGCGTTGGTAATTGAACAGTTGCCCATTTATTTTAGCACGTACTTTACCTGACTTGTCCAACGACACATCCAGAACCCGCTACTTCATTCTTATCAAACCCAAACGAACACGATAGCACCTGCAACACAAAGAAAGAGGACAACGGCGCTGCCTGCTTTTAAAGACCACAGTCTTTGTGCCTGACGTCTGGCGATTACAGACAAGCTGTGTTCTACGGGCGAAATCGATGGGCCTGATCTTTGTGCCAATAATAACTACAAGATGGCTGCCGAGTGTCTTGAAATAATACCATAGAAAGAGAAGGAATAGAATTGGGAGGAGAAAAGAGGAAAAAAATATTATTACAAAAAGAGAGAAAAAGAGTTTGGCCGGTGTTAAAGATGAGGCGTTTAATGGCCTGCGTTTAAGCAAAAGAATAGACAATGCAGTGATTTTCTAAAGGAAATTTCCAACTTGAGAAAATGTGTCCGCTGGGCTGGTCTGAAGCATCGAGTGAATAAACTATTTGATGATCTTTGGTCTAATTATCAGCGATTCACCTCCTCATAATGCTTATGAATTTCTCAAGAAGATGTTAATGCGCATGAGTAGTGATGTATAAAATTTAAACCGCTATTTGCATATGTTTTAGAATGATTATCAAACATATAATAGCGAAGTGAAGTCAATACGGCTTCCAAAATTCCTCCTGAGAAATAATCCGATTTTCTAGATACTAAATAAAATTATATAAATCATTCATAATGAATTTCTTTAGCAAAATGTTTTGCAAAGGATTTTTATTGTGAAATCATTAATTTATAATTTACGCACACAATTACACAGATACACATATATTTATTGGTATGTGTGTGTATGAAGAGAGAAAGAGTACAGTGATTGCTGATGACAATAAAACTGACGTAAAATAACAGAGTTATTATATGTGTGTGTGTATGTGTTAAATTTCTCAGAATAAATCTGTAAAAAAGACAATCAGAAAATAGTATATTTTCTTTGTCCTATGCGTTTTGTCATTTCACTGTGTCAAGGCGGGTGATGGTAAACAAAAGAGAAATGTTCTGTAGTTACGTGAAATTCAAAAGGTAAAAAACGACGACCTGTGTAAGCCTCTTTTTGGATGTTACTAATATCTTAAAAGAGGCGTAAAAAAAGAATGACTTTTTAAAATTTTTGAATTTCACGTAACTACACAATATTTCACTTTTGTTTATCAGCACAAACTGATAGATTAAATGGTTGTATCCGCCAAGACAGTTATAATGACAATATTCTCTACACGTGACAATAACTGACGTTCTTTTCAGTTAACAATATGAAAATAGCGTTCTCTATATTTCAGTTGCTAGGAACATTTTGTTTTTTGTTATTATTAGTTACTTTCTTTAATTAAATTCATTTCGTTTTTAGCTTTGAGAAACTCCACATTGGACGAAACGCGTCAGCAATAACTACAGTTTTCCTATTGTCATATATATATATATATATATATATATATATATGTGTGTGTGTGTGTGTGAAAATATATAGAAAATAGGAAGGAACTGGTTAGGTAAATAATCCAAAGTCCCTTAGTATTTTAGTTATTATTTTTAAAAAATAGTGCTCGATACAAAAGTAGAGCATAAATATAATTATTTATTTAAAAATATGATTCCAAATCGCTACATAAGAGATCTCATGTTTCAAAACAAGAGCCAAAAACTTCAATATAATCTTTAAATTTAATTAAGTTGAAAGTAAAATGGGCTCCGTTCCATCTTCAAGCGAAATTTTTGTTGGAATAACGTATATCTGAAATTTAGTTGTTTTAAAATTGAAATCAAAATCCCCATGGTAACAGCTAGGGTGAATTGTCTAAATTGGGTAGACGAGTGTAGGGTGTTTATAATAAGTGGCGGTATAGAGATACTTTCAAGGTGTCAAGTCGGGGAAAGGTGGGGGTGTCAAAAATGAAACGGAAGGTATATTGGCCATCGTCTAGTTTGCTTGTCTATGGAGATTTATTTATTTATTTTATTTTATTATGAAAGAGAATTGTGCATATAAAAAAAGAAAAACTTTCGTAACGTTTGTTTTTTGACGACTTCATAAAGGGTTATCTTATATGTAAGGTATTTAAACTACTAATTTAGGCTATGGATTATGAAGTGTGTTATGTTGTATGCATGTTTGTAGTTAATTATTCCTACTATGAATCTGATGATTTGGCTATTTGTTAAACAAGTTATATAAAAAAAATTTATCTAATGATTCAAACCAAAAATCTGATGATGCCTACAAAAAACGAGTTAACGGTTTTTTGTAGGCATCATCAGTGTTTTTTTGTTTTTTTTTGCATATAGAAGCAGGAATAGGTATCCACCACCAGCCCAATTACGGAGTAATTAACAGGGTAGATAGGTCTCTCTACTTTTGGGTAGCAATCATTCTAAATGAAACAAAACCATAATTCTCAGAAGGCAACAAGAACACACTCCATATTCTTTCCTTGGAATAAATAGAAAAAGTAAAAAAAAAAATATGTGTGGAGAGACCTGCGTTAGCATATAGGTTAAGATATATTTTTCTCTTGAATTGACAGACAGGATTTAATCAATAATTCATTAAATTATAATGAGTTTGTTATTTTATTTAAAATATATATGAAAGAAAAATTATTATTATTATAATCTTATATTTATAAAGCAATCATTTCAGGAAGATGCTACAAGAACGTGGCTTCATGGATATAATTTTTAGTCCATTCAATTGTATGTTAATGGTCTGTTTTTACTATTAATATATACTGGGTATATATCATATTGCACATAATTATTCCCGCTTAAAACATGAATGAAATTTAGATGTCTTGTGCGTGTTAGGATGAAATAAATTTAAACAAAAACGAGATTTTTTATATTCTTTTTTTCCTATAATTCGTACAAAAAGGATAAATAATTTAAACTGCTCTATTTGTGCCCGGAAAGAAACATTGATGTAGACGTTTAATTAAATATTTCCACAAAACATTTCAAAATATTTTTCACTTACCAACGTTGTGAACATGAAGTGATAACTATTTGAAAGCATGGTCACTTGCAACGCCTGAAAGAAAGAAGAAAAAAAAATATTTTCAGATTATAAAAAGAAAAACAAAAAGAAATGGGTGCGCATGCGTAATACTGGACAAAATATCATAGAAACTATAGGGTTTCTGAAATTAAACATAACTACAAAACAAATTTTAAAAATATCAAATGTGTACATCTATGAATAGATTAATTTATACTGGGATGTCATCTATATAAGAAAATTCAAATATCAGTGTGTCAAACTTTGTTAACTTCACTTCTACAGGACATAGCCCAACATACCATTTTAGAATAAGGCCGAATCATTAACCAAATTAGGATGGATCTTGTCCCGCAATCCTGAAATGTTTAATTCCCACGTTTTCACTATTTTTACGTGATATGTTGCGACAATTGTTTGTACGATAACAAATATTATAACTTGGAAATAAATTTGGTGATAATCGAAATTAATTGCGAAATCCAGCGAAAGTCATCCAGCAAAAGAAACCAATTGTTTGTGCGGAAAGTAAAGACAGACTCACAAAACATTGTCTTTTAATTAATTGCCGACTGAAGAATTATCGTTGAACTTTTAAAAGGTATTCATAAGATTAATGCAATATTTAAATGAAGCGATCAATTTTGAGTTCTTCTTTAGTTTCTTGTTACATATCGCATCTATAACACGCTACCGAATGTGATGGAAGTACAATCAGTTACCCTCCACTGAAGCCAACTATAATGGAGAGAGAGAGATAGAGAGAGAGAGAGAGAGAGAGAGAGAGAATTTTAAGCTAGTTTACAAATAAGATAATGACATTCACTCTTAAATTAGCTCAAGTCATCCATATGGCCACGAGGTTCTTTGAAATACAATTTTGTGATTTTTTTTCATCTGCCCGATTATCGTATTCTGAAAACAAGAAATTCTGATATAGATTTATAAATAACCGGAAAGTTTATCAGCTTGTTACTGACTTACGTAACAAGTGTGAAAGAAATATAAATAATTTATTTCCAATGAAAACTTGGATATTGAGAACAATGTAAAAAGCCAGTTTGTAATACTGTTGGTGGCAATACATAATGTGGGTCACTGGAATGAATATATAGACACATTTTCTGTGGATTAAGCAAAATATTTCAGAAAAGAATATCAACTCAGCATGACCCCACCAGACAAAACCTATGATGCAGAGGCTTTATCATGTTTTGACAAAAGGAAATATAAGTATATATTTAAGTATGTTTTGTTTTATTCATTTGCCCACAAGCAAAGCTAGAATGGACCTAAATGGACTGAAATTGAAAGAAATTGAGAGGGAAGAGACGATAAACGAACAGAATTCAGGAACATAGAATATGACCATTGACTTTGCAATTCAACTTTCGAAACTCATAGGTTATAGGAAATCAAGAAGGTCATCGAATATTCCACCGGCGACAAAATAAATTATTACATTAAAACATACGTATATATCTAGCCATTTTAAAACTAAATCGATTTGCCAATCTAGTACAACGTTTAAATTTATGCTGTCCAAATGCCATGGATGGGACCTCCTTAGAGCAATTTTGGAGTCAACTTTCACTATTCCGATTTTAGGCGTCAGATTTTTCCTTGTCTTTGATTTTTAGTTTGACGTCTTCAATTTTTTGTTTGCATATGGCGAAGTTCTTTTGATGAAAAAAAACCCACGTGAATAAGTTTGATAGAGCTAAGAATTTAATTCTGTCAAATAAGCAATCCCTTTACGCTCTTATCAATTCAATATTCAGGCTCTGTCAAGATTAAATATTTCGAAGCACTCATTTACAAAAAAAAGAAGGAAGAATAAAAATGGAAATAATTGACGTTTCCTCATTAGGAAACAAGTCAGCATTCCTTGACCGAGAATACAGTACACCTTTCGGATTCAATTTCTGAAATCTTTCTTTCCTGCATGCAATTTCCAGATTAGGAAACATTATTAGATGTCTCACATCCGTGTTCAAAAACCTTCAGCAGATGTTTTTTCTTATTTAGGAAAAGAAAGAACTCGCAAATTAAAAAATATATATATATTCTAGATGTATAAAGCTTATTTAAACGATTTACGTTGTTCCGGCTGTTGTCCTCATCTTCATTGTTATATTTACGACGTTTCGGCCATTGTATACTCCCGTCTTCTTCAGACTATGTCTATTGGAATTTCGAATGGAACTCTTTATTCACTCTACTGGAATAAGCGTATCAAGAAATGTAATGACATTTTGCTGCAAATCTTATTTAATAAGTACGTAATCGACCAAAATTGAAACTCTCTTTATCTAAATTCAGTTTTAATATACTTGGAGTGTACGATGAAAATATGGGTTCTGATCTGTCCTCGTAAATAAAAATACTATTGAGTAGATATAAGTTTTGTAAAAATGGTCTCAGATATTTCTCGGGATTTAGAAGTCGTCCTATCAATAATCAAAATAAGACAAACCTCTTTCCTTCACTTATTTCTTCTAAACATCATCATGAATATGCAGCATGTCAGGAGACATATATTATCAAAGATATTCTATCCGATTGTAGAGACCTTGCCTATACGTCACCGATTATATGACATGACTAGAATTAGATGACCTATCCGTGAAGATAAAATCAAAGACTAACCTTGACTTGTTCAAGGAGATTTATCTATGCCACAATTATATATCACTATATAACTCCGCACTGGTGAGTGATGAAATCATGAAACAAAAGCTTTCATACAAGACATATAATTAAATAAAATATTTTCGGTATTGAATTACCGACAGAATTGATCTGTTATTTAAACAAGAATGCACAAATTATGTAAAAATAAAACTGTGCATATTAATATAGATATAGTTACGGTGGAGTAATGGACTGCGGCTTGAAATTGAGGTATAGGAATTCCAGTCGAATACATTCACATACGTGCTAATACCCTTGGGAATGTACCTGTCTATGTTTCTCCTCGAGGACACATGGCACAGTGGATAAAGGCGTTGGTTAGATCCAGTGACATGATCCAAATGGTGTGAGTTCAATACCTGGTTAAGACAGTGGAGAACTTGGCGAGGGGAATTAACAGGCGTTAACTGATAACAGACATCCATTAAACATGGTACGTGGAACTAAAACAGTTTACCCCAGTGAGCGAAATAAAGGGTTCAGTTCGACATTACAACCATCTGAAAAAGGCCGGAGCGTACAACGGCCGTAACTTTGTAATAAATAAAAAAACAAATATGACGACAATAGTCCTAATAATGTGACTAGTGTACCCTTGGGAAAGTTATGAAAATTCTTCTCCTCCCAGCTATGGGTAAATACCAGGACAGACCGGGTTCTATAGCCTTGGATAATAACTGGTCTACCGTAGAAAGAAATAGAAAAAATCTGCCTCGTGTGTCATGTATCGAAAGATGCATGATCGCCTAAGCGTGTATCGCGCATGGCACATGACTGGCTGACTGTGCAGTCGAATACATTACATTCATTTACGTGCTAATACCCTTTAGGAAATATATTAAACATATTCTCCTCCCAGCTATGGGTAAGTAGCAGGACAGACTGGGGTTCTATTGCCTTGGATAGCAACTGGTCTACCGCAGAAAGAAATTGCAACCTACTGCGGGAAAAAAAAATCTACTTCGTCAGTCAGGTATCGAATGATACATGATCGTCTAAGCATGGACTATGCATATAACTGACTGATAGTTCGTGTAGAGATACAAGTAAATATTCATGGTGTCTTTCAGATTCACGTCTTATATGATAATCAGACAATATATCCAGAAAAAATTCCACACACACATACGCAAACACAAACTCATACATAGACACAGATTGATATTAAGTAGTTAAATGCAATCTCAGTCGTGATAAAAAAAAATGCACAAGAGATTTGAGCATAAAACAAACGTAGCCTCATAAATATTTTCCACCAGGTTTGATGATTATTTTTACGTTTACAGAACAAGATGCAAATTGCCTAATCATTTGGTTTCGTATGAGCTGTTCAAATTCAATGCACTTTTATTCCGTTTGCACGCAGTACATAAAAAAAATACGTATTACTGTATTCACAGTAACCCGTGTGTATGTGCTTACATATAACCAAATATATCTTATAAATATTTAGTAATTTTTATTTTAATACTAATATTACATAATAAAATTCATGTGCCACTCAAGTCATAGTTTACATTCAGAATTGATATAATGAAAGAAATGCGTGATATGAAAATAAGAGATGGTTTAAAATGAATATTATGTAGTTCAAATGGATAGATATCAATTGAATATTAATACTATCTGTGTAATAATGTTATTTATTATTATTATTATTAGCATTAGTAGTAGTAGTATTAGTAGTAGTAGTATTTGCTTAGCTTGTACATAACATCAGGAAGAGGCAGATGAAATTTCTGGGACACGTAATGAGAAAAGAGGGCCTGGAGAATTTGATACTCCCAGGTCGAACAGAGGGAAAGAGAGACAAGGGAAAGCAACTGATGACATACCTGGTGGGTTTAAGCAAGTGGATGACAGAACGTGGCCTGGGATAGATGACAGAGGGGCGAAACATATTGAGAGCTACAATGGATAGGGGGGAGTGGAGAACCATCATCGCCTACGCCTTGAAGAGACACGGCACATAAAAAGAAAAAAAATGATTTGATATCCACTCCGACGCTTAGATGTTCCGGCCGGGTGATATTGGAAACACTGTGGAATAATGGATAGTGGCTCGTATTGAGGAATCGAAGAGACAATTCCGAGTTCATCGCATTCATGTACATGGTAATACCATTGAGAAACGTATGAATCCATCTCTTCCCGTTATCTGTTGGTAAATAGAAGAACAGACTGGACCCTATAGCCTTGATGGCAACTAGTTTAGGAGAAAAAATTTCACCTGCTGCCATTTAGGTATTGTGTCGTTTTTATCTGAGAGGAGGGACGATGTAATAACATCCCTGGTGCAAAAGGAACGGCCAAAAAACTATTATTTTATATTGAATGTT